GCTTCATCAGTCTGAGGAGTTCCAGTAAACTGTTAGTTTCCCCATGAGTAAACTCCTTAAGTGGACCAACCAGTTTTCTGGAGCTAAGATGGTTTCTGGGGGCCGTCCTGTCCCCCGTCAACTTCTCCTGGGCAGGCAGCCACTGGGGAAACAGTTTACTGGAACTCCTCAGACTGATGAAGCCCTCCGGATAGAGGGTGAAACGTCTCTATAAAAAAGAAACTGTCCAGATGACCTGACTGAGAGTTATTGGCACCTCCAAATTTATTTAAATATCTTTTCACATCCTCAGTACCTCCCCATCCTCACATATTCAGCTAATATATTAAAAATTGTAAATATAATACTAACTCACTAATACATGCACTCCAACAAAGACTTCACATCCATTAAATCTGAGTATTAAAAATGATCACATCTTTGATTTTTCTTTAGCCAAGATTTAGTCATGGGAACAAACTTTCTCAGTTCAGGTATAGCTTTGACATGGGGGCAACAAGTTCCATATTGTTGTGCTTTTATATGAAAAAGTGGTCTGACCCTGGCTTACTAAAGTTGGCTCTTGGCTTCCCCCCACAAAAGTTAAATCAAGAACTGGAGTTTGCTCTATGCTGCATCATCAATATCAATCCCACAACATGGAGCTCACGACTGCCTTATACTGAATTTGCCCACAAGACTAATTTCTTCAATCATAGGGTTGTCTTCATTGAAAGCCTCCCTCCCTGCCTTCTCACAAGGTGAAGGTCGCAGGATTGCCACCCAGCTTGGGGCCTTTATGAATAATGTTTGCATGTTTTCCCCATACACACTTGGGTTTTCGCTAGTGGCCCTGTGATGGACTTGCAACCTGTCCAAGGTGTACCTTGGCTCTTGCACAGTGACCCCTGGAGATAGGCTCTCCTGTGACCAGAAAATGTAATACGGTTAAATAAAATGGATGGATAGATGGATGATGGATAGATAAGACCGGTGAGTCAGAGTGGAACAAAGGGTGTCATGAAGGTCAGAGGATTTGGGGGAATGCATGTCCCTTGTATTTCAGATCTCTATGAATGTATTGCAAAAGGGAGAAGTGTGTCAGTATGCTGGATTATGGCTATAATCCATTAATCCAGCCACTAACTCCAGTCGTCTTCAGTTAGAAAGCTCAGATGAGAGGGTTTGGTTTGACTGTCAGGGAAAGGGAAGATGATGATGACATGGGTGGGGCAACAAACCGATGAATAACTGTGAATGGATAAAAGCACGAGTAGTAGATAAAAAAGAAAAAAATAACGAACACATGACAGGATTTAAAAACACTAGTACTACTAGCACTAATAGTGAATGTAACTAAAACTCATAGTTAGTATTAAAGTAATACACATAAAAATATGTTGGTATACAGAAGAGACAGTTTAAAATCTGATCATGCTAAAGTAATCATGGTCCCAGTTCTGTTCAGCATTAATGACGACTGCTCTGGATGTCTCTTACAGTCAGAGGTTTGTTTGTTTGTTTGTTTTCTTTTGAAGTCATTTACTCAGACAGCTGTCGTCTCAGTACTAGTGCACATGTTCCAGAACCCAGAACATTTTGAATTGAGTTCAAGACCAACATCCTGCTGATGCAAACAGTTGATGCAAAGAGGATTTGTATTATTAATTTTAAACAGCATAACAATTAAAAGTGTATTTGTCACGCTCAGCGGCCCCCGCTGCCCCCCCATCTGCCTAAGCCTCTGCTCTTCATATCACAGCCCCTGTTTTAAGATCATTCACGTTTTTTCCTGCCTCAGTTTCTGTTTATTTCATCCTGTTTGGTCCTGCACTGCCTATCACCCATTTTCTGCTCCTGTCACTCTCTCTCAGCAATCACCACTCACCTGCCACACCTGTTCAGCTCACTACTTAAGCTCCACTCTCACTCTCCTCAGTGCCAGATTATTGAAAGCCTCACAGCCAGTAAATTATCCAGCATTCGTTCGTTCCTAGTTTCTTCGTTTTTGACCACAGCTTCCCTCTTGATTCCTCGTTTTGACTTTGCCCCTGTCTGGATACCACGCTCTCGGCCTACATGGTACAACCTCGCTCTCCTCTTCGACCACGACTACGGATCATCCTTTTGCCTGTTCACACAGCTCCTGGCTCTCGACCCCTGCTACGTCCCTGGATTCTGTTTCCTGCCCAGCCCTCCAACGTTCTCTGTCTCAGCTCTGCTCCTGCCACAGAAGGTTAGTGACGTGCACACCACCTCTCAGCTCCCAGAACCTTTTTGCAGTCACTAACCTGTCTGTCTTCATAGATTGGACCAGAACTGAGGCTCAGATCCTTCAGACGAACGCCTTTAATAAAATAAAACCTTTTATTTTAATATTGTCCTGAGTCAGGTGTTGTGCCGATCCATACAGACTCGTTACAGTATTTTGTTAGTCTAACAATGTTAAGCCAGGTCAGGACGGTAACCCGTCCAAAGTACCTGACTCATTCATGTTAGATTTATCTACCTGGATTATTGAGCATGCATCAAGATTTACTTGGTTAGGTTTAGGCAGCACAGTTAAAGAAAAGGAATATCATATTTATACCCACATTTTACATTAACATATGTACTTAGCATTCATATTTATCTGGTGCAATGAATAAATAACTTCACATTGACTCTTTTTGTATCTAATCCTCCAGTAAATATAAAGGGATTTCCAGGAGCATTAGTCTGTTGAACATCATGTCAGTAAATTCCATAACAGGAAGAAACTTTAATCGTTGCATATGTACATCCATTATTATGCCATAATAATGAAAGTTACATCAGTGACCCAACAATAACATTATCATCTATTCCTCAAGCGTGAATCAGGAAGAAATTGATGTTTAGGTTGCTGTTGTGAGTTTGGTTTGGACTTTACTTAAAGATTAGGAGAACATAAGACCAACCGTCAGGCTGACACTTGACATGATGAGGCATCAAGAAATCTGTTCTCGTCAATGTGGTTGTAGAACAGAAATTACATACTGTAGTTTTGTTGTCGCATGACCCCCGAGAACTCATTCTGTGCACAGCTCCTGGCAAAAACATTTCACGCAGGGGTATGTGCCAACTATTGTGTGATTGGTCAGAACTTTGCTGATGTGTTTATGCAGAAAAGGAGCTGCAGTCCAATGCTCTCATTTCACTTGTTCTACTGAGGAGCAGATGGCCGAGGCTGTTAGAAAATACAATCTTTTTATTTTTCTCCCTTGTCCTGTCCGACATCGTAGCACTCAGAAAAAAAAAGAAAAAAAGAAAATACAACCATCTTTACAACTGTTCTGGCAAAACTCATGAAGATCAAATAAAAATAGTCAACTTGTGAAAGGTGATCACACAGTTATTGTTCACAGAGAGGAAAAGTGCAGAAAGATGTGGCTCTTCATGGCTGTGCAGTCCAGGAGGAAGTGCACCGTGGCTGGGCAGTACACGGACACATTGTTTGCTCGTTATTGTGCACTGTCTTTTGGAAACGGTGATGGTCTCTTTGTGGAAAAAAATTGCAAATTAGTGCTTCTCCTTGATTAGCAACAGAAATACCATCTTCCTCCTCCTCCTCTTCTACGTTCTTCTATTCCTCCTTGAACTCTACCATCAAGTGAACATTAAAAATTCATCACTGCCGACTGTGATGTCTTGGTTTTTCTTTTTGAGCGGGACGTGTGCCACTGTGGCTCCTCCTGGTTTACCCGGAGTTTTGTGGTGCAGCCTTTTGAGTATAACATGTTCACGCAAAAAAATAAAATAAAAAAAATTCACAGTCACGAGAGCGAGAACAGATCTATTACTTCTCACAAAGTATGTAGCAGCCTCGAGATTTGCCAAACTAAAAAAGTCTGAGTGTAGTGGGTGACACCATGGCCACATGCTGACAGAAGACTGTCATTTGAACATCGAAGAATTGTGACAAAATTTTATTTGTTTATTTATTTATTTTACTTATTTCTTGTGGCCTTTTTGTTCCATTTACGTGTTTGTAACAGAAATATTCAAAAAAAGGGTTTGGAACCTAAACTGCAACGTTAGGCTCCATATCGTGTAATAATGCAAACACACACTGGTACATGGTGTTTCTCTGCTTGCCATGATAAAACGTCACACTAAAGGCTGTTTGTTGACATTGACAAAAGAGTCCACGAGTCCTGAAAAAAATATTAGATGATGCAGTAATTACAGCATTAGATCAGGCAGGTCCTTTCGACCTTGGAAACAGCACCGTCCACACAGCATGTTGAAGTTTACAAGTACATGAGTAAATAACATGTCAGAATTCACCGAGTCACCAAATGCAAACATATTTTACCTGAAGTTAATAAGTTATGAAAAGCTGAGATTGTCCTATTCTTATAAACAAATTTTGTAATGTCTTGACTAATTATGAATGTCTGTTCATTATTGACCTTTTTGTCACCAGGCGGGCAAGACTTTGTCACTGTGTGAGTGTTTGTTTGCCTGTCTGTTAGCAAAATATGTCATGAACTTTGGGTGACTGTAGATGATGATCGGGCAGCACGGTGGAACAATTGTTGCCTCTCAGTGAGCAGGTCCCTGGTTCAAACCCCGGTCCAGGGGCCTTTCTGGGTGGAATTTGCATGTTCTCTCCGTGCTGCGTGGGTTTTCTCCGGGTACTCCAGTTTCCTCCCACAGACCAAAAACATGCATGTTAGGCTGATTGGTAACTCTAAATTGTCCCTAGGTGAGAGTGAGAGAGTGAATGGTTGTTTGTCTCGTTTGTCTCTATGTGGCCCTGTGATGGACTGGAGACCTGTCCAGGGTGTACCCCACCTCTCGCACAGTGATTGCTGGACATGGGCACCAGCGATCCCCGTTACCCAAAATGGAATAAACGGGTAAAGATAATGGATGGATGGATGGATGGATGGATGGATGGATAGTTCTGATATAACTGAGGAGGTTGATTTGTGTTGAACTAGAGACAAATGTATAAAATGGTTGATGTTTCCTCCCTGGCCTTTTACTATGTTTACCTCCATGGTGGTGCGATTGCACTGGTGAGTATCAGCAAACCAGCTGTCGCCTGTCGCACACTGGTTCAAGTCGATGCCCTGAATGTTGACATCCACACGTATAACACCTCTAAAACAAGACACATACATGAAGGATGGGGGATGGTCAGCATTCTGTATTAGAGTAGAGAATCATTTTAATTTGAATAATCTGTTATCTTCTCTGGTACATCCACACTAGATCCTCCATGATGTAAAGATGATTCTTTGTTAAATATCTGATTTTGATCTAATAATTTTGGTTTTTCAAACTTTTCGAGGTTTGCAGGAAAGCTCACAGCACCCTGAGCCAAAGTGGAAGGTGAAATACAAATAATGCTTTTTGGTTTTAAAGTTTCAGGCTGCGTTAACACTCTATGAAAGTATTGTCAGACTAACAAGAAGTTTGACTGGCTGACAAAGAAAATTACAACTTTGGAGTTTCTACAACTGTCCACTCACAAGCACAAGTCCATAAAGTCCTGAAATGAACCAGGTGGGTTGTTTATTGTAAAATATAATAGTTAAATAGTTAAAAGTGTTTATTAAAAACTAAAATTACCTGAATGTAGCTAAAAGCTGAACTGAGCCAAAATGTAGCTAAAAGGCTAAAATTAGCAATAAAATAACTAAAAACTAAAACGAGCAATGAAGTAATTAAAAGCAAAGATTATCAAGACAGTACTTAAAAGTTAAAAGCAGCAAAAGAAGACAAAAATAAAGCAAATACGATGACTTATGAGAGCATGCTTTGTGAAGGAATTGATAAGATCTTAATGTAATTCGGGTAAAAATTTGGAAAATAAAAGTAAATTATGTTTTGAAACGTTACAAATACTAAAAGGCATAGGACAGCAAACCCACACGAGCTGAGTGTTTTGATAAACTGAATGATGAAACATTTAGAAAAAACTTTCAACATGAAAACAATTACTTAAGTCTTAATTGTCTAAAATATAAATGGACTACAATTAGTAATACCGCCACAGATTTTGTTTCCAAAAAAACAAAATTCTTGTCAGCTTGTGTTTGAGGCGTGTAAAGAGTGTTTTTGTCCTGACCTGAACTCTGGCGTCAGATCAGGTTTGAGTCCGTAGAAGGAGATGGACAGGGTCAACACCCAGCCAGGTACAAAGCGTCCATCCTTACAGTCCAGATATGGAGCGCTGGCCCAGCGCACGCCGCTGTGATCGGTCACATAGCTGTCGCCCTGACCCCACTTGGGGGTGTCTAAGGTGCTGAGGTCATTGAGGAGCACCCGCTTGGACAGAGAGGCTGTCTGCTGATTGGACTCTGAGAATTTTAGTCTTGTGAACCAGCTGTCATCAGGTGCTGGGGCTGGAGGGTGAAGGCTCTCCCAGGCCTTTGAAAAGTCCTGGAGGACGATGGTTTCCTGCTTAGCAGATGGGTTACGGGTTGCGTGAAGAACCAGTTGTGGCACCTGGGCAGTTGGGTCAGCATCAAACGTGATAAGAGCCCGTTGAATGACCATGTCAGCCTCAAGAAGGGCACGGACTAGGGCATGGTACCATTCCATATCCTCCTGGACGGTACTCTCTCGCAGGTCACTGGCCTGGAAGACCATGTTAAGAAAGTTAGCAGTGTTGGTCAGTGCATTCAGAGCTGGCTGGAGGGGGGCAAAAAAGTTGTTTGGTAGAGGTCCATTCTGCCCTTGAGTGCTATACGGACGGGAACAACGGGCCAGTTTTAGAGTGGAAGTGTTACCGGTATACAAAAAGGTCTCTGCTGGTGACCAGTCATCCTCCACCACTGTAGGAGCTTCTGAAGGTTTTCCTGCAACCTCAGGAGGTTCTGTGGGGAAGAGTTCTGTAGTTCCTGAACTGTTGGTTGAAGTATCGCTGCTGTTCAAAATTTCTCCAGTTAAAAACTTTTGAGTCACTTGTGCTTTTAAGAGGTGTGTGAGCAGAAGAAGAAGCCAAACCCGACTCATCCTGGCTCAGTGTGGAGGAAAGTAGAAAAAGATTGAAAGGGCCGCTCTTTGTGACGGGTTTCAAATTCCTGAGAGAAGTTAAAAGCTTCGCATGACGGTGAAAGTTCAAGCTGTCTTCGTGGATGTCTCCATGTTTACATTAATGAGGCACAGCAACAGCAGCAGGTGTCCTGGAGGAGGATGCTGCAGCGTCTGTGGCGCTCTTGCACCCACTCAGAGCGCACGGCTCCATGTGTGCAGCACGGAGCATGCGTGCGCCTAACACTCACACAAAAATAACGAACCTCGATGATGGAGATGGGGGTAAAACACGATGACCAGCAACAGCAGCATCAGCTTCATCCCTGTGTTGTCCATCCAGTATCTCCATTTAACTCCCGATCTGTTGTTTCAAAGTTACCAGAAAAAAGCACAAGCAGAATGAAGCGGAAGAGGGCAAAAAAAAGGAAAAGAGCCTCAAACTAAAAGAGAATGACCTTCAAGCCAGGTGAGAGGAAGAAGGGGCTATGAGTTGTGATAAAGAGAGGAAAAGGGAAAAAGATAAATCCTTCGATTTTTCTCCACTTCTTTGCTCATCTGTTGCTCTAAAGAGTCTCCACCTCATCTGACAGCAACTTGTGATGCTTGTCCAGCCCCTCCCTACCACTCACTTCCTCCTCCCCTCCCTCAGTTCACTCTCTCCATATCCATATTGCCTGGGATGCTCACCAGTGCTAAAAGGTGATGAGAGTGGTCCATCTGTTGTATGTGTGTGTGTATGTGTGTGTGTGTGCACGACTTTGCCGAAAAGAGGATGATGCAGTCAGCCAGAGATGAGCGTTAGGCTAAGCTCTTCTGCATTTGAGCATCCATCAAGAATCACCCTGCTGGATGGATGGATGGATTAATCCCTCCTACAGGAGAGTGGATGGAGATGCTCTTTTACTGTGATAGTTCTCTCTAATATAAACAAGCATTCAAAGGGAAAGCAGAGTTCAAACAAAGCAAACAAAAAGTGAGATTTGAATTTGATCTTCATCTTTGGGGAATTCCCTGCATGCATTCTGTTGGTGTGTGCGTGCAACAACAAACCAAAACAAAACACTTGATCTGTGCTCTAAAGTCTCTGTGAGGGAAAGATGCTGTTAGAAAATTGTGAACTAAAAAAAATGGATGAAAGAGAGACTCAGACGTGATGCAGACGTGAATCCTTGTTTGGTGTCCATGGCAACCGGCTTCTGAGAAACACCCCCCAATCACATACACAAACTCACAAACCCTCTTCCACCTTAGAACTTGACTGCAGAGCAGCAAAGGTGCTGCAGTGAGCCATGACGGGGATACAATGTGATACGTGCACGGTGTCAGACTGTTTAAATGAACGTAAGGTAAAATACATAACATTTTAGACTTGACCCATTAATGTAAATGACTATTTTTATTGAGTTAAAGATTCAAAATCTTTTACAAAACAAACTGTGTATTGTCTGACAGTATCTCTAATAAAAACTGAAGACTTTGTATTCCTTGAATGACTACACGTCACCCACTGCCTTTCATGCCAGAGTTTTAAACTAAAATTATATTTTGCTGAGAGGGGACGGCGTTATAACTGTTTGGGTCAAACAGTTTAAACCTTGTGTGACCGTCATGATCAATGTATTTTGCTAGTTCTGTTTCCAGTCTTTCGTACTTTAATTTTAGGTGTGTTTGAGATTAATGTGTTTATTATCGTACTTGTGGTGTTTTATTCATTCATTCATTCAGTCTTTATGTATACAGGTTAGTCTCATTTAGTCACGAAGACTGATTTTCAAGAGAGACCTATTTAAAAAAACCACACAGATGAGGTACACACAACAATAAACAGTCATAAAAAGCATATAAAATGTAAAGTAAATAAAAGTAGTAATATAAAATGAAATAAAAACAAGCTATTAGTCCTCACTGAGGGGACGCTGCAGGTAATGTCCCGAGAGTGCACGCTGTAGTTGCACTGATGATGTGACATGTAGGAGGAGATGTATGAAGGCAACAGACCAAGAAGTGATTTAAAGATGAAAATGTACCAGTGAGAGAGTCTGCGTGAAGTTAAAGATGAACAGTTAACCAGTGAATACTGGGTGCAGTGGTGGGTACGATAGTTACAGCCAGTTATGAATCTTAGAGCACCTTGATAGACAGCATCCAACATCTGCAAGGTGCTTGCAGGAGTATTCATGTAAATAATGCCACCATAGTCAATGTCCGGAAGGAAAGTAACAGTTACAAGGTGTTTCCTAGCATTCAGAGATAAACAAGATCTATTTCTGAAAAAGAAACGTTGGTTACGTACTGTAACCCCAGATTCTATGAGTATAGGCATAGCCCTTTAAGGCTGTCGCTGATGGGTTTATCCCGTTATTGTCAGGATCAGGTGGACAGGAACGAACCCAGTTGTGCAGACAGGACTCAACTCGGCAGATTATAAAAAACTAAATACTTTAATGACGAAATAAAAGGTAACAAAACAATAAGCTGACGTGGCAGCTAAACACATGGACTAGAAGACTCAGGGAGAAACTCACAAGGACTCAGGAAGCTCAGGGAAAATTCAGAAGACGCAGGAAACATGAAGACCCAACGAATACGACCCGACAAAGGAACAACACAGAACAGGAGGCTTATATACAAGGACAAGACAAGACGTGATTACAACAGGTGTGACGAGACAAAGGTGGCAACAATTAAACTGACGAGGAAACACTAGGGAAACACAGACACAAACAGAAACAGCAAATGGTACCATCCTTACAGTACCCCCCCCTCAAGGACGCCTCCAGGCGTCCCCCAAAAAACCCCCCTCCCGAAGGACTTGGGTGGGTGGAGGGCGGCACTGCAAGGGTGGAGGGCCAGAGGAAACACAAGGAAGAACACAAAGAACTGAAAGAACTAAGGCAAGACACAAGCAGGAAAAAACACAAAAGATTTGAACGGTCGAGAGACCGTCCCTGGAGTCATTGTTCAGGAGGACGGCCGGGAGGCCGTCCATCACGGGACCATCGTTCAGGGGGGCGGCCGGGAGGCCGTCCACCATGGGACCATCGTTCAGGGGGGCGGCCGGGAGGCCGTCCAACAAGGAACCAT